CTACAACATAAAAGAAAGAAGATATGAAAGAATTCCTTGGCATCATTCGGCTTTTTCCTTTAATTAGGAAAGAATAAACAAGTCGCTCTCTTTCAATCCTAATACTATGATTTGATTTTCTAGAAGGGTATAACTTGAGGATGGGAGACTATTTCATGTTATGGTGTTTGGCACAAGAAACATAACATGAAATAAGGCAAGTAAAATTCTTAATACAACTCAATGCATATTATATAATTGGTCCACCTTGAAATTTTTTAAGGTTCATGTAGAAGGTGATTGCTATGGAAAACCAACCTGAATTGGCAGGTCATAGTGTCTCAGTCTGTGTTTATGAAAATGGCCTAGAAGGGGGTGATAGGACAGTTCTTTTGTTTTTTCTTCACTAGTCCTCAATGACCAATCTCAATTTTTCTAACTATTCGGTATGTTTAAACTTAGAAAGTGATTCAATGTGTCTTACACCCCATGAGTTTATAACTTACGCTTATGATATCTAATTGAATTATAGAAATATATCTATCAAAGGTTCAAGTTGTGCTTACTTTTCTAATTAATTTATCTCAATTATTTTAATTTGCTTAGTTGATTAATTAGGGCTAGCTTTTATTGTTAAGTCTAATGTAAAAGTACTTATGTGAAATCAAGTTCAATGGAAGGATGCTGACTCAATTCTTAATTGATCACAATTGAACATACACATGATCTTTCGAAATATATGATCATTCACATAAACAATTATAGAGATTTATATGATGGCTCAAATGCATACATTCATCTTATACATATAACATATTTAAAATAACGAGCAAGATTGTAAAGATATGGACAAATAATGTATAGTGGTTTGGCCACTCTTCTCCAACCTTCTTGGGTGAAGCATCCATGATTCATCCAAACAACTGGTGACTTACAATGGGCATGTCAGCACACACCTAATTTCTCCTCACAAAGGCAATCTCTAGGATTTGAAGAATGTTTCTCCTAGCCCAACCTAAAACCCACTAATCTACCTATTGTCTCCTATTCAACTACTACACTAGGATTTGATGAAGGCTTCTCCTAGGCTAACCTACAACCTACTAATCTCCCTAATATTTTGTCCTAAAGAACAACACTATAATTTTTTCTAGGTTTTCACACAAAGGGCTCACCTAAAACCCACTACTTCAAGTCTATACCTATAACCCACCACATAGGATTTTACAGGGTCACCCTTAGCCTCTTCCTCAATTCAGAATTCAACAAGTTTCTAGGATAGGATCGCCTACAACCTCAACCACAATCCTTAACTCACAATGGGCTCCCCCACAACCTTTTTCACAATGCACAACTCACAATGGGTAGCCTACTACCATAAGCTATATGAGTCAAACAAGCATTCCAAGTCTTAACCCCCAACCTTTGCAATTTACAAAATAAATATCAATGTGTGGTAATAAACTTGTCTCAACAATACACTAATAGGAAGAATTTATACAATCCCAAGGGGTTGGCCTAGTGACAATGCTTTGTGTCTTGGGGGTGTGCTCTCTCTAAGGTTTAGGGATTGAAACCTCTTAGGTGTTAACAATTCCTTGGGGCCATGAAAACCCTTGAATTAACTGTGGTGCACTTGTGGGAATTAACTGTGGTACACTTGTGGAAAACTCTTTACTGAGGGCTTGTGCACCCTTGAGGATTAGTCGGGCTTTGATCCGGACACCCCGGTGCCAATTAAAAAACAAAACAAAACAAAAAAAAAAAAGAAAAAGAAAAAAAAAGGGAAGAATTTATACCTTAAATTGAAGCCCAAAAGCTGTCCAAAGTTTGGTTTTCAATATTCTCAAGCTTGGCCAGTTGTTGATAGTTAGTGTATGATGAGTACTCTTTCTAATTTCTCCCAAATCTCTTTAAGATATGTTCTAATGTGAAAAATCTAGAAATTCCCTAGATATTGATTTGTGATTATGTAACAATTTTAAGCAGTATATAACAATCACAATCAAACAATCAAGACAAATCAACACAACGATTTTAACGTGGAAAAAACCACAATTGGACACCTCCAACTGTGATTAAAAAACCACGGGCAACAGCCACAAAACAATCCACTAAGAAGATTTAAAGGAATTACACAGGTATACTCTCAATTACCTAGCGAATCCACGCCTAATTGAACCAACCTCTATGTGCCTCTTCCAACCCGTCTTTACCTCGGAATTGTCTTTACGATGAGCCACCCCGGAATCCACCAGAGCTTCAGGCTCTAATTCTTCAGAATCCACTAAAGAACATCTCTCTCTTTTGTAGAACAAACAAAACTTTTGATGTACTCTCTTTAAACCATGACTTGAATACTCAATAAAACATCAAAGTAAACTAACAAAATATCCCCAGATATAAACCTTAAGAATCAAAAAGAAGATTTGGAGGAGTTGAGGAGTCGTCTAGTTTTGGGAGAAAACCAACTACTTATAGAAAACCAAAAGTAATCCTAGATTTGGAAGAAAACCCAATCCTTGTTGAAATCTGGAAAACTGTGTTCGCGCGGTCCGCTCGAGCGCCCAACATCCCGCTTGAGCGTCCTCAGTAAAATCTGCGCGTGATATAACAGCGGTCCGCTCGAGCTCTAGAGAACCCGCTCGAGCGTGAAATTACATATCTCAGTATTTTTACAGGCGACCAAAACTGCTGGAACCAGGAATTCTGGCAATCTTGAAAGCATTAGCATCACAAACTTCTCTGAAAGACAATTCGGGTTGGATTCGCATCTAAACACTCATAGCCTCACTGAAATAAAAGTGCAAAAAAAAATACAACTGAAAGGAGTTTTGTCAAACGGGATTGCCAAAAATAAAACCTAACATAATGTATATACATAATATTAGGTCTCAAATCATCAAGTTCTATGTTTAAAATGAAAGAAACTTATGCATAATGCGTGAGTTCCAATGGCTAGATAATGACTAGTTTATTTTTTTCAAACTGCACCCAGTTTGGCAGGCCAAAATAGTTCATCATTCAAGTCTGTTGGATTTCTACCACCAGCAGCACACTTCAAAAGACTATTAACTCGCTCATTTTTAACAATGTTTTGGGCGAAAATTGTGCTCAAATTGAAACTCTGTAAATGTAGTTTCATTTGAAATTGGTCTTACTCAAGGATTTTAAACTAGAACCTAAGTTATGGTTTTTGGAAGGCTAGGAGGTCATACTTCATTTACCAAAATGGTCACCAATCTTGACCAAGACCAGCATAACTGTCTTCTAAAGTCTTGACCCTAGGTGGTTCTATTTAATACATTTTGGTCTTCTTGTCACTTGGACATCCCCTGTCACGCCCTCAAAATTAACCCATTATATAACGTTGACATGCATTATTTAAAGAAGACAATTTATGAATTCATTCATCAGAGTAATACTAAATAAAGCATTACATGTAATATCGAATAAAACGCCCTACAGGCTTACATCTTTCCAAGCCAACACTTGGATACAAAAATATGAGTTCTAACTCAATACAAGGAAAGCCCTAGGCTTGAATGTTTACATGTAATAATAATTAAAGACAATTAACTAAAGGTAGTCTTCTCCAATCCAGAAGCTAAAACCCTCCCAAGCTAAGTCCTTGGAGGTAGTTTATCACCTGAACCTGAAAATGATGTTCCCATAAAGGGTGAGCCACAGCCCAGTAGAAATATACTAAACCACGTATAAGCAATGAATAAAGCAATAGCATTCAACAGATGGTTAACCAAAATAATCAATTACTACATTTTACAGACTCATGACATTATTGCCAAAGATACGTTTTACTTTCCAGTTTTATCAACATGGCTCAGTACCTGGCCAAACTTATAACAGTGAAATCACATATATCATATTCACATCCTTCCAATATTAACAACTGTAACGCTCTCAAAATAATAACATTAAACCCAACAAATAAGACAAGCGTTGATAGATAAACTAACTACCTTCTATCATTCATTAGAATTCCATTACATAAGTATTACATGTTAACCTCATAACAAAATGCCCTACGGGCTTACAGCTTTCCAAGTTAACACTTGGTTACAACAAAGAGTTCTAACTCGTTTACACATTAAGCCCTTGGCTTGAAATTACATGTAATACATCAAAAGTAAAACAACTACACTATGTCCGCCTCGCAACACTTGGTTTCTAAACCCAACCAACCTGAACAAACCTGCCTAACACATCCTATAATTCCAAAAGAGAAAATAAGGAACAACAACAATAACCATTATACAATGACAGAATCTACGGAACCTAAGTCCGGATACAATAATCAAATGGAAAAAAGACCGGGGTCGCTATATCCCCCTTGTTGATGACTTGAGTTCATCCTTCCTCGACTCTTTGATGCCTCTTTGAAATTGTCAAGTTCTTGAGGCTTGTATGTGCTTTCCCTTTCCAAACCCCTCTATGGATATTGGATTACACTTTATCCTTGCTACAATATAAGTCATGAAATTGCCAAACCCTATGGTTCTAGACTTAACTGTTTCTCCATGTTATAGATTGAAAGTTAGCGTTGTGATTGGAAAGCATAAAACGAGATCAACATGTTTAAAAAAAATAAATTATGATCATTGATTTAAAAGAATGCCAACACAGTTCTTGACTATTTTTTTTTTTTTTTTGATGCAAGTTTGGAAGCAAAAGCATATGCATTTCGTCTTTTGTGCTTGTGAACATTGAGAAAGGAGTTGTTGTACTATAAGAATCTAAGTTACAAATTACTTGCCTTGGTTATTCTGCTATAAGAATCTAAGTAACAAATTGCTTACCTTGGTTAAATGTTTGTTTTCTTGTATCATTCTCTATTCTTTTTTCTCTCTCTCTCTCTCTCTCTCTCTCTCTCTCTTTCTCTATTTTCTCATTTTTTTTTTCATGTTTGGACTGATCAATTTGGTTCTATTTCATTTTCTCTACGATTTTTTTATGTTTCTGGATACCTTGTTGATAGAAGTGGTGTTTGTTTCTTTGTTCAGTTTCTCTGTTGGATGGAATGGCAAATACTAGAATGGTTGAACTTGGAGAAGTTCAGCTTGCTACTTACCTTTTCGAGAAGACATTTACAGGGCAGCCTTCGTTTCAAAATGGTAAATATTTTATCAGATATTTTTAATTTCAATTTCAGAATAATTACCAAGAAACTAAAAAAAACTAGGACTCTTTGCCTCTATACACCTCCAAAATAGTGCATTGAGCAATCTATGGGATTTACAGCACAAAATCTCACCAAACAGATATTGATCTCCTAAGCTATGGATCAAATATTTGCTCTCTTCCATATAATGTACACAAGTTATATGCAATATGAAGATGATTAAGCACTGCAAACTAAATTTTCAAAAAATTGCAAATGAAACCGCAAAAAGATAGGACTACATGCTGACATAAATGAACTGCACAAAAATATACCGAGTTAATTGTGTGGGCTTGGGATGTAGAAGTATTTTTGTGGCCGAATTTGGGATGATTAGATTAGGCCCGAGGTTGGGCAAGCCTTGGGATAATACATATATTCTTACTATAAAGTGCAAGCCTATCCCAACCTAGTTGATGCCCATCCCTAGTAGAAGGCAAATTTGGATATATGGCTGAAATGATTGTCACATGATTTTCTCCCTAGTAAGAACTTTCTCTCACTTTCTGGAATCTAGTCATGTTTTCAATTGAATGAAGTTAGTAAATTTCTCAGATACATTATGTTATCAGTGTTGTCAGTATCTTACGATTCGATACCTTTCAGAAGGAAATCGATACTATCATCAATACGTATCTTAAATTAAATGTATCTTACGATTCATATACGATACGTGATGCAATATACGATATGCGATACATAATGCAATATGAATGTTACTTCTTTTCCTTAAATTTCTTTAGCAAATTAGAAAAGAAAAAAATATATTCAAATTATTTTAAGTAAATTAATATTGTCGAAAATTTTCATTAACTTATTTAAAAAAAAGCTATTTTTGAGATGTAGTACTTTTTAGTTTGTTTCTCAACCTTTTTGACATATCTATTGTATGGTTTAAGAATCTTGCATTATTAATTTATGCCTTGTGAAGATAATATGTATTGCTGCATGTATATATTTAATTTAAGGAACTTTGCTTTTACAATTGACAGAATTGTACATTATTTAGTGTTTTATTCTCATAAGATATTTGTTTTTTATAACTATATTTATTTTTCTACCTATTTCTAAAGGTATTAAAGTATCTTATGCTACACGATACGATACAATACGCGATTCAGAAAAATTAAAACATGATACATGATTCGTATCCCGATTTGACAACAATGTTATAATTTCTTGTTTGCCATTTGTATTGTTTGATTGTGCTTGTTAAAGAGTAGGGAGAACAACTATTATTGTTATAAGCACTTGACTTCTTCCCCTATTTTAACTTCATTTGATATGTTTACAGGCTTGCCTTCACTCATTGCATTTCCCTTTGGATGTAACACTGCAAATTGTCTAATTAGGTGAGTTTCCGCTTGAGGTTTAAATTTTGAAGCTGCGCTCATGCTGCATTGTGAGTTTTAAAGTCAGTCAACACACAAGCTTTATAAGCTTTGCACATTTCTATTATGCCCAATGCAATCTATATATATTATATATTTTATGGGATTTGTCTTCTAATTTGCTACTTGATGGATTCTAAAGGAAATTTTAATATCATGTTGATTGTTTGATGCAGGTATGAGAGAGAGCTTTATGTTGACGCTGTTACTAATTGGTTTGCAACCATAAGTTTGCCTTGCATTCTATACTACTCAAAGGATTCAATGGTAACAAATGCAGTCTTTCCTGGGTCTATATACACATTTTTTTATGACTAAATTGTGACGTAGGATAGTTTGGGAAACGTGGATGATGCTGTCCACACTTGATTTTTTACTAGTTTTAGGGCCAAGAATGGTCGTGGATTTAGAGTTCAATACGGTTGGATGGTTCTAGTGTTTGTGACCATAGTGGATTATAACTGTCTTGCTTTTTGAAGTTAATTTGTGGAGAATAAGGCAGAAGGAATGAACTTTTGTTGGGAACAATTGACTAGGCTTGCTTTACGTTGTAATGCTGGAGTGGAATTTCATAGATTGATGCATTGAAAAAGCAACATGAAAAGAAATCATTATTTAATTAGGAGTCTTTTCTAATAGACCGATTATTTATGTTCATTTTGCTTTTCTGGCATTGGACCAATTGTTAGAATATGTTAGAATAGGAAATAATATTTGCCATATTTTATTCTTATTTGATATTATTTTCCCTTGATTGATGTAATGGCCTGACCCATAATTTATGCCTAATGGCACTCCTGTAATTACGTATTATTATCAATATAAAAGGGGATGAGGTCTCACTCATTGCCTATCTCTTTCTCTTCTCTAAACTCGTAACACCCCAGAATTTTTCCCTCTGCTCGAGCACAAGAGTTCACGCTCGAGCGGTCTTGTGAGGCTCTTAGTACTTTTGCAGTTTGTTCGAGATTCTGAGAGTTGTGAATTTCCACTCGGGCACAGGAGTGGTCGCTCGAGCGGTCGGCTTCGGTAGTCTGTTCGCTCAAGAGCAAGATTGGACGCTTGAGCAGTCTGCCTGGTTGAGTCTAAATTTTTAGGACTAGTGGGGTTGCTCTTGACATTTTTATTATTGTGTTTGGAGCTTCCTTGTTTTATTTTGGGACATTGATCGAAGTAGTAACATGATGGTTGAGTAAGATTAGACCAAAAACTTTGATTCGAATAATTTTCCTATGAACAACCATCACTCTTTTACTCTTTTCTTTTTCCACACTTTGAATTTGGATATGGGGCTAGAACCATTGGAAAGATTGTTTCCGGGGCTTCGATTTGGACACAAAAACGACCTAAAACGAAGTCTGGATGAGAGAGTTATACCCGTTTGAAGTTTTAGTATCTGTGCTGGAAGCAAGTGCACTTGAGCGCAGAAAGTGGCGCTCGAGTGGACTGTGCGAATTCAACAGTTTAAAAAGTGCCTGTCTAGATCATTCTCTCCACTTTTCTTTTCTCTCTTTCCTTCTCTCATCTAAGTCCGAAAACCCTTGATTTCTTGACCCAAATACCTTCCATTTCTCAAAGATTTGGCCATAATCTCTTACCAAAAAGTGAAGAATACATGAAGATCTCATTTTCCTACCGATTGGATTTTTGGTTTTATGAAGGAATCTCCTGGAGCCTTGCTTTCTTGCTTGGTCATTGAGGTAGGGGTTTCTAGTTCTCCTTCAATACTTTCATTTATAGATAGATTTGTGGTATTTTCCTTATATAAATACAAAATATACATTTTTTAGCATATTGTGAAAAGTCATGAGATTGGGAGTTTTGGGTTTGAAGAGTTGGGGTTTACTTACTGGGTTATGATTTTGGGAGTGTAAGCAATAGAAGAGTTGAAATAAAAAGTGTTTTGTGAAAAGCTTTAATTTCTCTTAAAAACCCCAGTTTGGTTCATGAAGATAGATGATGATTTTGCTTAAATTGAAAGTAGTATCATGAAATTGAGGTGTTAAATTACAAATATACAAGTTTAATTGAAATTTTAAAGAGTTTGAAATTTATGTAAAAGTTGCGATTGAACTCTTAATGTTGATATTTTAAATTATGCTATAATATGAAACCAAACTTGGGAAAAGGAATTATTAATGGTATAGATGATATGAGCTTTGTGATGAAATGATGATGTGGAGGTTTAAGAGTTTGTATTTGTGATACCCCTGTTCCGTAGTATGCTAATTGGTCCTTAATTTGAGTATGATTATGTGTTTAATATGATTTCATGTGCCATTGTGTGAAAATATATAGTTTTGAATTTCTATCTGTTCACAGTAGGAATATCTGTTTGATTATCTGCTTTGGAAATTAAATTGAGGGCATTATCGGCCACAGAACCCGAAATTGATTACGCCATTGTGATTGGCATAATTTTTAGCGCCTACAGTGAAGTTTAATTGAAAAATTGATTTGAACCAGATTAAGTTGATTAAATTGCTAAATTAGTGCCCAATTACTTTATTAATATTATATTGGTGCTAGTGGGAACTTATGTAAAGAGGCACTACACCCTCTATTCTCTCCTTATAACTTCATTTGGCTGATTTGAACTCAAGTTAGAGAGAGGGCCGGCTATAGAGAGAGAGAGAGGGAGAGAATTGTGTAATTTTTGGCTCAAGCTTGGGGATTTGAAGATTTAACTCAAGAATTGACTAGAGCTTGGGTTTTTGAAGCTCCTAGGTGAGTGAATTTGTGTATATTAGTTGTGATTTTGTGAATTCAAGTTGATTAATGATCAAGAGCAAGAATTGTGCCATAAGTGAAGGAATTGTGTAGTATTTGATGAATTTGAAGGTCAATGTATGCATTCATGTGTGTGGTTGTCTTGAATTTGCATATTTGAGCTTGAATTACATGATCTATGTTAAATCTTGGTTGAAATCCTTGTATTTGATCATCTCTTCACCAATTAAGTTAATATGAATGAATATTTCTCACATGCAAGAGTAGATCATGGAGGTATGAGCTTTGCATGTTTGAATTTGATGTGTTGGTGATGAGTTTGGGTCAATTTGAGTCATGCATGTAAGTAATTCAAGAAATTGAGTTTCATTGTGTTGTAGTTTGGTGTTGGTATCATGTTAGTATCTGTATATGTGAAATTTGAGCCATGGCATGCAAGAAATGTTGGTTAGAGTGTTGAATTTGAGCTCAAGAACCATCCTGGAAAACCCAGAATTTTTGATGTCCGCTCGAGCGGGGGAACCGCCGCTCGAGCGGGGATTTCGAGCTCCTAGTATTTTCTTGCAGGCATGGTGTCCGCTTGAGTGGGGAAGTTCACGCTCGAGCGGGGAGCTATGTAGGATGAACTTCCGCTCGAGCGTCCGAGTTCACGCTCGAGCGTAAAAATGATACATCCAGCACTTTTTGCAGACATGGTGTTTGCTCGAGCGGGGAAGTTCACGCTTGAGCGGGGAAGTTCACGCTTGAGCGGGGAGCCATGTAGAGAGGCCTTCCGCTCGAGTGTAAATTTGACACAACCAGTACTTTTGCAGGCCTCAAGGGTCCATGCTCGAGTGGGGACCCTGTTTTCTGAAATTTTGAAAGTGTATTCTGTGTTTCGTTTTCCGTTCTCTTTCACTTGCAAGCACTCTTAGCCATGCATTGAGCATTGTAATTGAGTTAAAGAGATAAGAATGAAGCCTAAAGAGGAATATGTGAATTTAGAACGGATCGAATTATTTGTGACCCATATGTGTTATGTGATATGTAGGGTCAAACTCCAGGGCAAATCCACAAGCCGATCACTGTGAGTAATATCAATATTTGAAGCTTGTCATTTGTCCAATTGCTTATTTCCTTATAAGCCTTATAAGTGTGCCAGTTTGAATTATAGACAAATGTTTTGACATGAATGAATGGGCCACAGGCCGTTTTGACCTAAATGAATGGGCCAGAGGTCGATGTGATAAGAATGAATGGGCCAGAGGCCGTTGTGATAAGAATGAAATGGCTAGAGGCCGTTTTGATAGGAATGAATGGGCCAGAGGCCGTTTTGATAAGAATGGATGGGCTAGAGGCCGTTTTGACCTGAATGGATGGGCCAAAGGCCGTTTTGACCTAGTATTTTCTTGCAGGCATGGTGTCCGCTTGAGTGGGGAAGTTCACGCTCGAGCGGGGAGCTATGTAGGATGAACTTCCGCTCGAGCGTCCGAGTTCACGCTCGAGCGTAAAAATGATACATCCAGCACTTTTTGCAGACATGGTGTTTGCTCGAGCGGGGAAGTTCACGCTTGAGCGGGGAAGTTCACGCTTGAGCGGGGAAGTTCACGCTTGAGCGGGGAAGTTCACGCTTGAGCGGGGAAGTTCACGCTTGAGCGGGGAAGTTCACGCTTGAGCGGGGAAGTTCACGCTTGAGCGGGGAAGTTCACGCTTGAGCGGGGAAGTTCACGCTTGAGCGGGGAAGTTCACGCTTGAGCGGGGAGCCATGTAGAGAGGCCTTCCGCTCGAGTGTAAATTTGACACAACCAGTACTTTTGCAGGCCTCAAGGGTCCATGCTCGAGTGGGGACCCTGTTTTCTGAAATTTTGAAAGTGTATTCTGTGTTTCGTTTTCCGTTCTCTTTCACTTGCAAGCACTCTTAGCCATGCATTGAGCATTGTAATTGAGTTAAAGAGATAAGAATGAAGCCTAAAGAGGAATATGTGAATTTAGAACGGATCGAATTATTTGTGACCCATATGTGTTATGTGATATGTAGGGTCAAGCTCCAGGGCAAATCCACAAGCCGATCACTGTGAGTAATATCAATATTTGAAGCTTGTCGTTTGTCCAATTGCTTATTTCCTTATAAGCCTTATAAGTGTGCCAGTTTGAATTATAGACAAATGTTTTGACATGAATGAATGGGCCACAGGCCGTTTTGACCTAAATGAATGGGCCAGAGGTCGATGTGATAAGAATGAATGGGCCAGAGGCCGTTGTGATAAGAATGAAATGGCTAGAGGCCGTTTTGATAGGAATGAATGGGCCAGAGGCCGTTTTGATAAGAATGGATGGGCTAGAGGCCGTTTTGACCTGAATGTATGGGCCAAAGGCCGTTTTGACATGAATGGATGGGTCAGAGGCCGTTTTGACATGAATGAGTGGGCCAGAGGCCGTTTTGACAGGAATGAAAGCTAAATGGGCCAAAAGGCTGGTATGTTTGAAACTACAATCACTTGGCTTAAATTGTGTATATAAATGTTAAATAAAAATGTGAATTGGGCCCAAGGCCATTCGGAGTATGTTGTTCTACATATCGTTTGTAGCGTCTTATTTGATATTATTTACTGGGCTATCGCTCACGCTCATTCATGTGTTTGTAGGTGAGCCAAGAGAGGTCCAGACCCAGCCCCAGTGAAGTCTGTGTGGAACAACCGAGTTTTGGAGAGTTAGCCCCAGTGTCTCACGCACGAGACTTGTCTTCGCCTTTCTACTATGTTATGTTATTTTTGTCAAGTTGGCGAGGACTTTGCATATGTCTGTATATGGTTTTCATGGGTTGACTTAGTTTTTGGATGATCCTGTTTGTACAGAACTTATGCTACTGTATTTCTGTTGTGAGTTATTAATGTATATATGTTTGGTTGTTTGGATGTGCCATGTAAGCACAGCTCTACGAACAAAGTTTTGAACTGCTTCCGTTTGGCTCCCATTAACTCTGTTAAAATACGTTTGTTTTGGCTTGAGGCCGTAGGTAATTTCATGATTACTGGCCGGTTATGTCCTTAACCCATGGGGGCGGGTTCGGGTCATGACAGTATTGAATTATGCCGAATTGTATTGAATGGTGTTGAATTGGGTTGTGTTGAGTTTTGTTGTGTTATGTTGAATTGCATTGAGTTATCTTGAAATGTGTTAAGTTGGGTTAAGTTGTGTTGAGTTGGGATTGAGTTGAGTTGAGTTGGGTTGAGTTATGTTGTAGTTGGTACCCGCGCAGGGAGTTAAAAATATCTTTCGGTGCCCACGTCTGTCTGTACAAGAGCTGGTAAATGTGGGGGTGGTTTTGAATTCAAGGTGCCCAAATGCCCTGTCTAGGCTTATCGCTGGACGAATGTGGGAAAAATGTTTTTGGGTGTCTACAAAGTCCTGTTGTATTGTAGTCGGCAAAAGTGGAAAAATATTTTTTGGGTGTCCACAAAGTCCTGCCGTATTGTAGTCGGCAAAAGTGCAAAAACGAATGATTTTAAAAATGTTTTTGGGTATCCTCGTCCTGTCGTATGAGAGTCCGTAAATGTGGAAAAACATGATTTTTGGAAAAATATGGTTTTTGAGAAAATGGTTTTTGGGAGTTCACTTCTTGCCGTATAATAGTTGGCAAAAGGTGGAGGATGTTATGAATTGGGTGCCCACTATCCCGCCGTATCAAGTCGGCAAAAGGTGGAATGTGTTGTGAAATGTGTTGAATCAGTGATGATATGTGTGACTTGTGATGAACTTATGAAATTACAATTTGATGTGTAATTTGGTATGGAAGGGGAATGCATATAGAAATGATTCAAAAAGAATGGATAAGGAAATAGTAATTAGATAAGGGATTGGTGATAATGAACTCGCTGGGTTGTATGTAATTATAAGGAAAGATTAAGAGTTTTGTTTCGTAATTAATTGAGAAATTGAATTAAGTGGGTTTATTATTCTTGTGTTAGGTTGAATTATAATTGATAATGCAAATGTGGATGTGATGTAGTTGTTAGACAAATAGGAGTTGGGTGTAGGAGAATTGTTATTGAATATAAAGGAGATTTGGATTTCTACGTTATGGAGTCATAATAATGGGAATTAGTAAAAGGGAAAATGGAAATTAAATGAGGAATATTTTGGAATTGGTTAATAAATTTAAAATGATGTTCCTTAAATATATTTGTTTGCGAAAAGGATTTATGGTTTTTCTGATAATGAGGGATAATTTTTATAGCTGAAAGTTTTCCTTAAATGTTCAAAGAAATTTTGAGAAAAAGATACTCTACATATAATATTTTGAGCTTACTAAATGTCACCTTATTATATGGTATCACCTTGCATGCATGATCACTTCTATCTGTGTGTTAGTTATTGTTGTAGAACTATGAGATTCCTACTGGGCAATTGTGCTCATCCCTCATTTTATTTTTTTCCAGGAAGAGAATTCGAATCCAATAGTTGAAGAGTTAAGAAGTCAATGAGTCTCTTTTGTGTAATTTCGTTGTGGATGTGAATGAAATAAATATTGTATGTTGATATTTGTAATTATTTATTTGTAGCTCCTTAGTGGAAGCTTGGCATGTATCATTGTTATTGTTGTATTTTTTGAGAGAGAGATCATGTATTATTATGTTTCTATTACTCAA